GTCTGTGATGGCTGCAGGGGTTGAAAGCAATCCCAGGGGCCGGCGCTGTGGTGTAGCAGGTAAAGCCACTGCCTTCAGTGCCGGCATCCCATATGGGTGCCAGTTCAAGTCCCGGCTTACTCCACTTCCGATCCAGCTCTCTACTATGGCCTGGGAAAGCAGCAGAAGATGGCCAAAGTGCTTGGGCCCCTGCACCCATTTGGGAGACCTGGAAGAAGCTCCTGGCTCCTGGCTTCGGATCGGCCCAGCTCCAGCCGTTGCGGCCAACTGGGGAATGAACCAGTAGATAGAAGACTTCTCTCTCTCTGCCTCTCCTCTCTCTGTGTAACTCCGACTTTCAAATAAAAATAAATAAATAAATACATCTTTAAAGAAAGACAGCAGTCCCAAGATCTGGTGCTAGCTGGGCAGCGAGACCTGTATGCCTGCCCTGCTGTGGAGGTCGTAATAACCCAAAGGGGTTTTCCGAGGTCCTGGGAGCGTGGCTCAGCAACAGTGCTTTGGATGTGAACTTTGCAAAGTTGCCAGCAGTCCTAGCCCCAAACCCACATAAGGAACCCCAGCCTTGTCCCAGTGGTTCTGCTGCAGAACCCGGAAGCCTGGGGAGAAGTAGGAGAAGGGAATCCAACCTGGCCACCCACCCCTGGAATCTTTGAATGGAACGGACATGCAGCCAGAGTGGGCACAGGAACCACAAGCTAAGGATGGACTGGGGCCTGATGAAGGGAGCTTCAGAGCCACACAGATCTGTTCTGGTCCCATTGGAGGCCAGAGGCGACTGGGGGAGGGGGCATTGACGATGCCAAGAGCAGTCAGCAGATGGCTGAAGGTTTAAATAACCGAGGAAAATTCTGAATAATCACTTTAAGAAGTCACCTGCGTGGGCCTTTGGGGCAATGGTTAAGTCACCTCTGGAGTGCCTGGGTTCAAGTCCCTGCAGAGTTGTCTGTCCCACCCCCGCTGCCAATGCTGCCCCCACCCACCCACCTGGAGACCCCCAGGACTGAGCTCCCGCCTCCTGGCTTTGGCCCTCTGGCCATTAACGGGCCTTTGGGGGCTGAACTGGCAGATGGGAGGTCTCTTCCTCTTGAAATAAGTTTTAAAACAAAACAAAAAAATAAGTAAATTATACTTCAATGAAACTGGTTTTTAAAATGGCAATCTGACTCCAGGCTTCCCTGCTGCACAACTCCCAGGTAGTCCCTGCCTCCCTGCCCTACCTCCCTCCTGTCCACAGAGCCAGCACAGTACCACCCTCCACCCACAGATTCGGCCAACTGCAGATGGCAAACACTCAGAGCAAAAAGGTGCTCGGTACTGAACAGATACGGAATTCTTGTCTATTTACACAGCATTGACAATCTCTCAGGTGTTAGAAGTAAGCTAGAGGGGCTGGCGCTGTGGCGCAGCAGGTTACAGCCCCAGCCTGCAGTGCCAGCATCCCATATGGGTGCCGGTTCAAGTCCTGGATGCTTCACTTCCGAGCCAGTTCCCAACCAATGCACTTGGGAAAAGCAGTAGAAGACAGTCTAAGGGTATAGCTACCCTCATGGGAGACCTGGAAGAGGCTCCTGGCTCCCAGCTTCACGTGGCTCAGCCCCCTCCACTGCGGCCATCTGGGAAGTGAACCAGCAGATGGGAGACCTCTCTCTGTTAACTCTGACTGACCTTCAGCCCCGGCCCCACTCTCCGTCCCCACCTCTGGGTCCTTCCCCAGGCTGGACCCACAGCCAGCAGCTTCACTGACTCTCCTCTACTCCTGCCCACTGGACTCCGTTATGTTCCACCCTGGGACAGGCCCCTTCCTGCTGACAAGTGCTCAGCCCTGACACCCAGTTTTGTTTTCTGCCTCCACCCTCTGAACCTGGGCTGCAAAGAGTTTGTTAGGAGAAGGTTGAGTTTTTCTTTTAAAAAGAAAGTGTTGGGGCCAGTTGTGGCAGGTTACCACCCCATGTGGCACTGGTTCGAGTCCCGGCTGCTCCATTTCTGATTCAGTTCCCTACTAATGCACCTGGGAAAGTAGTAGAAGATGGCCCAAGTGCTTGGGCCCCTGCACCCGCGTGGGAGACTCAGAGGAAGCTCCTGGTTCCTGGCCCAGCCCTGGCCATTTTACATCTGAACCAGCAGATGTAAGATTCTCTGTATCTCCCTCTCTCCGTGTAACTCTACCTTTCAAATAAACAAATACATATTTAAAAAGTAAATAAAAAGAAAGTGTTTTAGGTTATGGTGCTTTAGGTTCCATCATTCACATTCTCAAAACCTTGCCCAAACCCTGCGTGTTCTTGAATTCACTTGTGACTGTCTGCACGGTGGCTGATCCAAATCTCTTCTACTTCCCGCAAGCCTCACACCCTGACTCACGCCCACTCACTCTTGTCTCTGTCACTTGTCACATCCCACCTACTTAACCCCACACATTCTATTTCTAGAGTCTTTGCTATTTTTTTCTTGCCTCTATAGTCTCACAGCCCCCACCCAAGGTTCCTAACCTCACCTCTAGACATTCAGAACTAACGTCTAACCCATCTTTTTGACAGGGGTGGCAGAGCTGCCGTAACTGCTGGCATCTCACATACAAACACGTGGCACTTCCCAAAGTCTGCAGGTGGGGCAGTGTTGTTGGGGTGCATCGGGGGAAACTGCCAGCTTGGGACAAGGCAACCCCTGAGGATGCCAGAGTGCCTGGTTCGAGTCCCAGCTACTCGGCTTCCAATACAGCTCCCTGCTAATGTGCCAGGGAAGGCAGCAGATGATGGTCCAAGTACCTGGGTCCCTGTTGCCCGTGTGGGAAACCTACACAGAATTTTAGGTTCCTGGCTGGCTATTGTGGGCATTTGGGGAGTGAACCCATGGATGGAAGATCTCTCTCCCTGTTTCTCTCTTTCACTCTGCCTTTCTAATAAATAAAAAAAATCTTTTTAAAAAATTCTCTGGAAATGAAATTAAGTAAGTTTATTTTGGTGCACAACAATCTGAAATCCAGGCATATGAGAGTCTTCAAAAAATCTGCGGAAAATGTGTATCATAAAAATACAACACATGAATTTCAAAATATTTTGCAACAAAATAAATATTTTTAATTCCGTTTTCCAACAACTTTAAAAACAATTAAAACACAATTTTGAGAGGCAAAGAGACAGAAAGAAGGGAGGGGGTGGGAAAAGGGAGGAAGAGATGGGGTGAGGAAAAAGGGGAGGGACAGAGGGGTAGGGGGGATGGGGAAGGCAGGGAGAGAGAAAGAGAGAGTGAGCTATGTATGCTAGTTTTCCCATCCACTGGTTCACTCCCCAAATGCCCATAATGACCCAGAGCTGAGGAAGGCAGCCAGACAATCAGTCCAGCTCTCTCTCCCATGTGGGTGACTTCAGCCGTCACAACCTGCTGCTTCTGGGGTCTGCATTAGCAGGAAGCTGGGGTCAGAGGTAGAGCTGTCAATCAAACTCAGGTGCCTCTGATCGGGTAGCTTAACTGCTAGGTTAAATACTCACCTGCTACAGACTTTTGGAAGTAGTTTTGTAAACGCTCTCTCCGTTAATCCTTCATTAGCGTTCCCATTTTATAGCTGAGCAAACCGAGGCCTGCTATGTCTGAGTAATCTATCGAGACGAGTACCACAGCTAACAAGCGAGACAGGAGGCTGCAAGAGCAGGTCCACCGGGCCAGGTCCCTCCTCTCACCAAATTCATTTCCTGAGAGCTGGCTCATGTCCCTGCTCAGAACATCATAGGCTTCCCATGCATGGACGGTTTCTTCAGTGGGGCATTATGTTAACCAGCTTACGTGTTTCCCAGCTCCTCCATTCTGCCTACACCTCCGACATCCTGCCTCTCTCTGCACCCTCACTCACTGTTCAGCCTGGACGACCCCTCTTGTCCCCCTTCCCAAGCTGCCACGCATCTTTCCACACCCATCTCAGATTGACCTTGCATTTAGTTTTCTCCGCCCCTGTCTCCCCACTCTGGGTCTCCAGCATGTCTGGCTCAGCTCTTGCCTGCGGTCCCCAAATGCAACATGACCACGCCCACTCCAGCCATAACACCTTCTAGAAAAGTCTCACAAGCTTCCCTGCTCCTTTGCCGCCACCAAGCAACTGAACACATTTTCACCCATCGCACAGGCCCCTGACAACCTAGACTGATGGTCCTATAACCACAGCCCCATCCCAAGTACCCCGAACCTTTTATCCACTGCCTGCCAACTTTCTCTATGTGACCCGGCAGTGAGTCACAAGCCACACTATCCCTGGGCAGCAGGAATGCCCAAACACATGAGTTCTCAAAGTCCCTTGAACGCCACCAAGCACACAGGACTCGCAATCTCCAGGAAGCATTTCCACGACTCAAGCAAATCCCACAAGCAGTGAGCAGGTCCTGCCTGTTCATGAAAACCTCTCAGAATTTCCAACGTGGCGTAGGTCTCCGTGTCCTGCCACGTTTCCTGGTTCTCAATCTCTCCGAAAGACAGGTCATATCCAGAGCCAGCTGCTCAGCAGCCCCCCAAACAGAGCTTCTGAAACAGCGCCAGGGGAGGCCAAATGACAGGCAAAGGCCACGCCCCCCCCCCCCCCCCAGGATGTGTCTTCCAAACAACTTTGTGGAAACCAGGTCTTTATCAAGCCCTCACCTCCTACAAAGTCCCCCATCATCCAACCCAAGTTCTAAACCCAATTCACAGGCTGCTCACTTGCCCGACAGCACCCAGTCCTATTTCTACACATCATGGAGGCTCAGGAGCTGGTTCCAGAGTCCCCCGGATGTCCTTCCCCAAGTCCATCACCCCTGGGAAATGAATGCCACACCAGCCTTGGGACCCCGGCGTCTGATGGGAGTTGGTTACACTTACAAACAGGGCACAACCAGCCCTGGCACCTCCTGAGTCTCTCCTATGAGGAGAGAGCTCTCCACTGCAGCCTTCTTGGGTCAGCCCCATCACCTGTTGCCAGCCCACCCTGGTCCCAAGGCTCCCCGGAGTGGGCGGACCTTCCGCCTGTGCCTTACCTTGTTCAGGCAAGGTGGGCGCTGCTGGCCTGGCAGTACAGAGCGTGGCTGTGACCAGCACAGCCCAGAAGAGGAGACACTTCCAGCTCCACATCCCAGTTCTGCACTTAGAGGTTGGTGACAAGGCTCCACATCTCCATGGATACTCCGCCTGGAGCTCGATCCGCTGTCTCAAGCTCACTCTGCAGGGCAAGAGGAGAGCAAGATATTAAGAGGGTTGGTCTAGGGGAGAGGGACAACTCCTTAATTAAAGCACAAGCAAGAATTGAGATCTTAATTAGACGGGGAGAGGGGATGCTTTTTTAAGATTTATTGATTTATTTGTTATTTGAAACACAGAGGGATAGAGAGAGATTTTCCATCTGCTGGTTCATTCCCCAAATGCCCACAGCAGGGGCCAACGCTGTGGCGTAGCAGGTTAAGCTGCCGCCTGCGACACTGGCATCCCAGATGGGCACCGGTTCAAGACCTGGCTGCTCTACTTCCAATCCAGCTCCCTGCTAACGCACCTGGGAAAGCAACCAGAAGGTGGCCCAAATGTTGGGGCCCTTGCACCCACATGGAAGACCCCGCATGAAGCTCCTGGCTCCTGACTTCCATGTGGCCATTGTGGCCAGCTGGGGAGTGAACCAGCGGATGGAAGACCTCGCTCTCTCTGTCTCTCCATCTCTTTCTGTAAATCCTTCAAACATAAATAATTACTTTAAAAAACAAAAAGTTCCAAATAGCTTGGGAGCCAGGATTCACAAGCCTGGTGTTGTAACTGCAGGAGACTTCAATGTGTTGATGATGCTCACTGCCTAAGACTTCACCCCGCCCAGGGCAAACCAATCCCTCGAGTGAGAAAAGGAGATGAAATACGGGGGAAAGAGCCAAGGACCAGGAAAAGGGAGCCAAGTGCAGGAGCAACTAGTTAGAGTCGCAGGAATAGGTTACTAAGACGCTGTACCTCCCTGGACCAGTGCAATGAGGGAAGTTGAAAAAAAAAAATCGCCTCCAGGGTTCTTTCTTCCGCCTGCACTGGCACTCTAGTTCCATCAGATCCCCACTGAGAACACATCCCTCACCAGCTGCAGGAAGCAAGGGGTGAAACTGGCGCACCCGGGAAAGGAGTCCAGGAACCGGGGTGGGGGAAGGGCTGGCTGCAGCCTGCAGGCTCTCCAGGACAGAGTCTAGGGGAAAAGCAGCCCTGGCCCCCTCTCCAGGTCTAGAGCAGAATGGAAAACCATTCCCTAAACTCTCAAGTTGCTATTCAACTTGACCAAGTGATGAGATCTCAAGTGTGGGGCTGCCCATCTCTGGCTTCCAGGTGGCTTTTGTCCTAAATGCTCCAGGGAACCATCCAAGTTATTCAGGGAATCCACTCCCCGGAACATGCCCTAATGTGGCACTCCAGCCCCGCCTCCCCCGGAGCCAGGCAGGGCCCCCTCTCCAGTGAGTCAGTTCCTGCTGGCAGAAAACCCCCAAATTCTTGGCTTCGTCCAGGTGCCCTCGGCCAGCAAGATCCACAGACACCACCACTAGCTTCATTTAGCTCGCTAGAATGCTTAAAAATTGCAAATCAGAAGATGAGCAAACAATTCTTCCATCTTCCAAAGTGTAGGAAGAGAAAAAAGGAAAATATTTTTTAGAGTACTTATTTGAGAGGCAAAGTGACAGAGAGAGAGAGAGAGAGGGAAAGAGAGAGAGAAGGAAGGAGAGAGGGAGATCTCCCATCTGCTGGTTCACTCTCCAAACAGCTGGGCCAGGACTAAACCAGGAGCCTGGATCTCCATCTGGGTCTCCCAGGTGGGTGCAGGGGCCCAAGCACTTGGGCCACATCCTCTGCTGCCCTGCCAAGTACATTAGCAGGGAAGTGGATTGGAAACGGAGCAGCCGGAACTGGAAACAGGGCTCATAAGGGATGCAGACGATGCAGGCATGGCTTAACCCATAGTTCCCCAAGTACTGACCTGGAAGGGAAATAAGTATTAATTGCACAGCTACCATGGGCCAAGCCTGCACTGGGTACGATTAATTTATAACCATACAACTTCATTCATTCCTTGCTACAAATTTAGGGGGGAAAGGAATCAGTTCCCTTTAAGCAATGGAGAAACCCAAACACAAAGAGGTTAACAACTTTGCCTAAGGACAAACACCAGGCCTCTTATCACCCAGGTTTTCAGATGTTAAGAGGACAGGGTGGAGACAATCAAACCAGGACGATTAGCTCAATCTGGTACAAACTCAGGGTCTCTAATGGGGATCCCATATCATTAAAAACAAAAGTAGATGAAAGAGGCTTGATTCCTTCTGAAAGAAGGACCCTCAAAAGCACCTCACATAAGCTTTATCAGGATATAAGATGAGGCTCCGACCTGGGCCTGGGGTAGAAACAACGCTTGCCTAGGGGTTGGCATTGTGGCACAGCAGGTGAAGCTACTGCTTGCAACAGCAGCATCCCTTGTTGTAGTCTGAGCCACTCCTGATCCAGCTCCCTGCAGATGCACCAGGAAAAGCAGTGGAAGATGGCCCATGTGTTCAGAGACCTGGATGGAGTTCTGGGCTCTTGGCTTTGGCCTTGGCCCAGCCCCAGCTGGGCAGTGTAGCCATCTGTCTCTCTCATTCTGTCTTTCAAAGAAATAAAATCTTTTTAAAATGAAACTTTGTATGACAACATCTGTAAACCCACAACCCACATCTTACTAACATCCCAACGATACACCACACTGATGCCCGCCTGTCACCCGGACAGGCTAAGAACACCTGATTCCCAAGATGACCCCGCAGACAACGGAACTTCAGCAACCTGGGAAAAGGGTGGCATCACCTTGAGATGATTAAGCGTGGCTGTGAAGGCCACTCACTCACTCACTCTGTCCCCTGAAAGCCTGCCTTTCTCACAGGTGTGGACCGGCTGCAGGCGGCCCTCAGCTCACTAGCAGCTTCCTCTCCCCCGGCTCATTCCAAAACAAAGATGCAAAACTCTCTTCCTCTCCTACCTCTCTGAGTCTCCGGTTTCACAGCCATAAAGACAAGGATGGTGCGAGAAACTGTGGCTCCTGCAGTGAGAGGGTGCGTGGCACACACCCCACTCCACACACCTGCAGTGACACAAACCATCGGCTGTGAACTGCCGCCTCCTCCTTCCTCTCACCTTTTTCGCCTTCTACTAATTAATGAATTCTTGAAATCCCTCGGGAACAGCCTCCTTCCTTCACTCCCTGACAGATGTGACCTGCAGCCTCACAGGTGCACACAGCAGCTTCCGCGGAGACCCTGCAGCTGGCTGTCCCTTCTCCCGGCTCTCCAATATCAGGTTCAACCCTCCTGGGTGGGAGGGAGGTCCTGGGCGTGCACGGGGAAGGGAACACAGCATCTCTTCTCCCACATAGGAGGAGCTAACGGGCAGCGCGGGTGGATGTGCCTGCTGCCTCCTCCCCAGAGTACGAATTCAACCTAAGACAGGAGAGCCTCTGGTGAGGAAGTGGTGGCCAGCTCCTGCGACCCCGCAACGCTCCCAGGTTCTAAGAGTACAGATCCTACGAACATCAGATCGTCAAAAAGTGATGTCAGGAGAACTAGCAGGTGAGCTGGTGGCCAACTCTTTTTTCCTTCTGTTCACTAGATAAAGTCACAAGGGAATCTCTGCCTTCTACAGTCGCTTAGCCTAAGCCTTGGAGGCAAGTGTGTTTGCCCCGCCTGTATCACCAGGGGTTATGAGGATGGGGCTGGGTGTAGGCGCCTGCTCTCTATTCAAACCCTAGGAATTGCAAACATTGTCCTTTGAGTCACTTCTTGATAGCTCTCTTAGGAGAGGACCTGAACTTCCTGCTTCTCCAAAGGTATTTCTCACTCTCCACCTTCATACCCTACACTTCCAACCTAGCTAGACACAGTGGTCCCTATCCACATGTGGCTGCCGGGCCCTGGCATGTGTTCTAAGTGAAGAATACACATCAGATCCTGAAAAAAAAAAAAAAAAAAAAAAAAAAAAAAAAACAGAGCGTCAAGTATCCTACAAGGACCAGCATTGTAGCACAGCAGGTAAAGCCACTACCTGCAAAGCCTGTATCCCACATGGATGCCAGTTCGATGCCAGCTGCTCCACTTCTGATCCAGCCCCTGCTAATGTGCCTGGGAAAGCAGTGAAGGTTGGCTCAAGTGCTTGGGCCCCTGCACCCACATGGGAGACCATGAAGAAGCTCCTGGTTTCAGTCTGGCTTGGCCCTGGCCATTGTTGCAGACATTTGGGGGGTAAATCAGACGATGGAAGATTCTCTCTCTCTCTCTGTAACTGTGCCTTTCAAAGATATACAAATTTTTTTAAAAAGAGTATCCTACAAACACATGTTCAGGTGGCAATATTTAGAATATATTGGGTTACATCAACCATATAATTAAAATCTAGACACATTAAGTAAAAATGAGTTTCACCCATTTCTTTTTACTTTGTTTCAAATGCGGCTACTAGAACATCTAAGATTATGGGGGGAGGGGCGCCCCAGTGTTGCTGTCCTGTATGTTAAACTGACCGCCATGTCAGCACCCCATATGAATCCCAGCTGCTCCGCTTGCGTTCCAGTCCCCTGCTAATGACCTGGGAAAGCAGCAGAAAATGGCCCAAATGCCTGGAGCCCTGCCCTCCACATGCAACATGCAGACGGAGTTCCAGGCTCCTGGCTTCAGCCTGGCCCAGCCCCGGCTGTGGCAGCCATTTGGGCAATGATCCAGCAAATGGAAGCTCTTTTCTCTCTCCATAACTACCCATCAAAGAAAATCTTAAACAAACAAAAACAACCAAAAACTGTCTTGCCCTTTAAGAAAAAAAAAAGAAAACCTAATGTCCTATTTCCATGGGACAGCAGAGCTTGGGACACCACCAAGCCTTCCCTCCTTCCCTCCTTTCCTCCTCAATGGGGCAGGTCTTCCCCACCCTCTGAGCCCAGTCTTAAGAAACCAACTCTTCCATAAGTCTTTTCTTGAGCCTTCAAGATGAAGGACCTCATTCTTCAGAATTTCCAAAACACATAAGCAGCCTCTCTCTTGCAGTGTTTACATCGTCTTATATGATTGCTATTTACATTCCCAGCTCTCTCCCCACGCTGCTTCTGAGCAGGATCTGTGTCTACCCACCTTCCGCAGACACCCTCAGCATGGGCGCCAGCACTGTGACACAGTGAGTTAGGCTGATGCTTGGGACACAAGCATTCCATGTGGGGTGCCGGCTCCAGTCCCGGCTGCTCAGCTTCCAACCCAGCTCCCAGCTAACGTGCCTGGGTAAACAGCAGAAGATGATCCAAGTATGTGAGTCCCTGCCACCCATGTGGGAGACCTGAATGGTGTCCTGGGCTCTTGGCTTTGGTCTGGCCCAGCCCTGGCTGTTGCAGCTGTTTGAGGAGTGAACCAGCAGATGCAAGATCTCTCTCTCTCCCTCTCTGTCGCTCTGCATTTCAAATAAATAAGTAAATCTTTCCCTAGCACATAGGGTGTACAGAGCAGATGCTGGCCTATTTGTTAAGCAGATACATAGATGAATGAAAGAAAAAGATGCTGATTGATGAAAAAAAAAAAAAAACTGAGATAGTCTTCCAGAAAGCAGATTGAGGGCACCACAGAAAATCAATAGCCAGTCCACTGTTTGCCAGCCACACTGTATTCCAAAGAATACCTCTGGGAAATGTTCAAGCCATTCTGCTTCCTCAGAATTGAGGAAACAGCACCAAAACATAAACCCCTTTAGCTAGGGGTAAGGCTGACTTCTTATCATCACTCTTCCCAAAAGAGCTCTCTCTACTTAATGCTAACAGGGCAGGGCAAGCACTTAATCAACATTTGAAAACAGTCCCGAAGCTCCGTTTGCAAAATTTTAGCTGGTCCAAGGGAAAATGGTAACTGTTTATTTTGAGTCTCCGTAAAAAGTGTCCAGATGTCCTTGAACTAAGTATACCCCCCCCCAAATTAGGAACAAGTAAACCTTAATTGCTCCACATCATCTAGGAAACTTTGCTATGGAGGACAGGATATATGAAGGTACTTCAAAAAAAAAAAAAATTTGTGGAGCAATGGGATTAAGAGATACATTTTGCTACTAAAAATGTTTGAAATCCACCCAACACATAGTTTCCATGGATTTTTTGGAGACCCCTTGCACGCATGGATTTACGAACTATTCTGCACATTTAAAATAAACTGATCTTGTCATTCCAACCTCTGGAGCGCCCTGTGCTAGTGAACCATCACCACACTGATAAGAGGGGGTCACCGCGGTGAATGCTCTCTCCCTAGGTGGGGGAGGGGCAGCTGTGGTGAGCAGCCTCTGTGCAGGGTAGATGCCAATGTGCCAGGCCACGTCTGGTCGTAAATCTTCTGTGGAAACACCAGAAATCTCTGCATCTGGGCTCCCAGCAGCGCCTGCCGCCGCTGGCCTCTAGAAAGCTTTGGGGAGGGCAGATGCAAAGCAAATTTCCCCAGAGGAAATCAAACTCATCTTGTGGGACGGGAGGGCCCTTTCAGAACAGGACGCTGGAATCCATTCTGAGTCCCTTTGCTCCAGAAGCCAAGAGGCTCCAGCTTTCCTGGGGTGCGCTTTCACGGACATCCATTTGGATGGAAGAGACTTTAAAAATGGAGGCAAGAAAATAAAAAGCATCCAAAGGAGCTTCCTGCTAAGACCCCAAGCTAGCAGGAGCAAATGTTCAACACCCCCCCATCCCACCCCACCCCCGCAAAACAAGCAAAAAGCACTGCGCTAAAGCAAAACCCAAAGATCTTCCTGGGTGCCCAAGGCTGGAGTCAATCTTCCTGCCCACCGAGTCCATCAGAAACAACAGCAGACACGAGAGATACCTGGGTGCACCCTAACCCTTTCCAAAGTTGGGGTGGGCAAGACAGCATCTACCACGCTCCCTGTCCACTTCTACCGGGGGTGGGGGGACGGGGGGGTGCTTCACTTCCTATGCAAAAGGCACCTAGTGTTAGCTTCCAACACCCTTCCGGGGCCAGATTCTCAGACTTGTCTTGTCTACTTTGGAACCCAAGGCAGTGGTGCTCACTCTGGCCCAAATCCCCATTGTGAAAATACCTGCCCCCGACCCCCACCCCGGGGCACTTCTGCAGGCATGGAAAAAGCAGGCAGTGAAATGAAAGCTCTGGATCCACGACCCTCATTAAAAAGCTGACACCCAGCTATGACTAAGAGTCAATGCAACAGATTATTTCAAAGAGAGCCCGGGCACCAATGCAATGCATAACCATCCCAGCTGGAGCCGGGCCCCAAACACCCTGGCGCTTCTCCCAACCAACTGGGGGTGGCCGGTGGGAGTAGATACGTAAACAAGTCATTAGGGAGGCAGCCGGGGCGCGCAGACGGCAATGGCGAAGCCTGCCAGCCCCCGGTCACTGCAAGGCAGGGAGAGACCCGGGCGTGGGGGTAATTAGCCAGACCAAGGCACGTCCCACGGGGCCCTGCTACTTAGCTCTTAAACAAGCCTCAGAGAGGAAACGCGAGCCTGGGCCGAGGGAGGAAAATGGCCACTTTCTACTAAACGGTCTCAAGGCTAAGGTTGTACAATTTAGACGGGATTCCAAAAAAAGCACTGGTCCGGAGGTACCGCGGGCAGGGCACATCTGCGAAGGAAACAGTCACATAATTACCATGTCTAGAGAAAGTGCGAATTCATTACGGCCTCCAAAACTGCCGCCCAGAGAAGGAAGCCAGGAGAAGTGTTTTCAATTTGAAGGCGACCGGGAAGAAGAGCGACCAACGCTCCCCACTCCGCACAGCTCCTCCGGGCTCCAGGAACACCACAAAAAACCGACTGCACACTCAGACCCACCCCACCCCACCCCGCCCCACTGGCAACCCCGAGGCCGGTCTTTTAGGAGTCACACGCCCCACTCGCGTTCCCGAGAGGGGGCTGGGGCAGCCCGGATCGCTCCAAGAGGACGCACAGGGACAAGCGCGCCCTGGGCGGCTGCAGCCGGGCTCGCCCCAGCGAGGCTGGGAAGGGGGCTCGGGACGGAATAGTCAGGGGGCTCCCGGAAGGCCAGAAAGGGCAATGCTCTGGTTCCAGAAACTTCTTTCGGGGCCAGAGCTATTCACAAGCGCTACCCCCCCACACACACACCTACAACCCTGGCCCCATCTGCCCCCAGATGGATGCCTCTTTCTGCACAACCCACGCTAACCGCAGAGAACGCATTCGCTCGATGGGATCCTCAGTAACTTGGGATCCAGGATAACTTTTCCCTCTCCCCCACTTCCAAGTCTCGGGCAGAGTGCGGGAGAGGTGTGGCAGGGACGAGCGGAAGAATCCCAGTTTTCGTCTGAGCAGGGGGAGGGGAGGAGGCACAGTAATAATGCGGCTGCCGTGTGCCCGTGTGGGGTGAAATGGAACCAGATGCGGCCGCGGCGTTTAGGAATGGGGTGGAGGGGGGAGGCGGAGTGGAAGTGTTTTCCCAGGGGGGCCGACAGCTTTCGAGTCCAGAAGGGCGAAGCGAGCAAGCTCCCCCACCCCGCCCCCAGGTGTCTGGCCGCCTCCAAGGGGATAGAGTGTTTAATGGGGGCCCCATCTACGGTGTCAATGAATCCCTCTGCAAATGCGCGTTCAGGCCCCTCTCTCCCCCACCCCCCACCTCGGGACGCGCGGAGCCGAGGGCAGCGGGGGCTGGGCCGGAGGAGCAAGGCGCTCGGCGGCAGGCGACCCGCACCGGACAAAACCCCATCCCTTCCCCCACACCTCCCAAAAGCAGGCCGACCCCGGCGCCCTCTGCCGCCGCCCAGGGCCGCGCGCCCTCTCCTGACCCAAGCCCGAGACCCTAAACGAGGTCCAAGTGGATCACCGCCTCTGGAAAGAGGAATCCTCCCTCGGCCTCCGCTAACGCTGATTCAGCCCCTCGGTGACGACACCTTCTTAAAACCGATTCCCAAAGAAGCTAACCATCCCCTCCACTTCCTTCCCATCTCCATGCCCCTCAACCCGGATCCCAGACTTTTCCCGGAGATGGAAATCGACTTAGAAAAATCCCGGATTCTTAAACCTTCCGCCCAAAAGCTACCTGCTGAATTGGGGTGGATCCCCACCAGCGGACCAAAAGGAGACGGAGTGGAATGTAACAACTTCCCCCAACCCCGCGCGCGCGCGCGCGCCCCCATCGCGCTGCCCACTCCCGCCCTCCTCCCCAGTCCGGGGGAAGCGAGGGCCTCCACGCCTTCGCCCCGGCCTGTCCCTGCCCGGGCTCACCGCGGAGCCGCCGCCGCCGCCCCGCCAGCTCCCGAGCGCGAGTTGGCGGAAAAGTTGGGCGGCGGGACGCGCGCGGGGAGGGGGCGCAGCGGGCTACGCGCGCCGAGGGGCGGGAGGGGAGCCCGAAGAGGGGCGCAGAGCGCGGCGGAGGGCGTCGAGGGTGGAGCGGGCGGGTAACGAGCGGAGGGAGGCGCCCGACCCGCTCTCGCTGCGGCGAGCGAGGTGCGCAGCCGAGAGGCTCCAGAGTCGGGGGCCGCTCGGGACGCCGAGCCAGCCGCGATCAGGGGGCGCCGCGGCTCTTACCTCCCTTGGCGCTGCGGTGCCGCCCCTGGAGAGTCCGCCGTGGCTTTTGCGGGCGGGCCGCTGCCCGCGCTCCCCGCTCCGGCCCGCCGCCCCCCGGGCTCCGTTCAGGTCCTGGCGGGGTCGCGAGAACCCAGTGGCCGGCGCTCGACTCCCGGTGGCGCTCGGTGCTCGGCGCCTCCAGCCCGGGCGGGAACAATGGAGCCGAAGCTGGTGCCCCGGAGGCGGGGCGGGGGGAGGGCTCCCGTCCGCCGCCCGGGGTCTCCAGACCCTGCGGCCCCCCTCTCCAGAAGCCAGCGGCGGCGCCTCACGCCTCTTGCAGACCGGGCTCCATGGCCCTGCAGAGACCCTGGCGCCGCGGCGCGCCCGACTGCAGCACGGGTACGGTGCGCTCTGCGGGGCGCCTCTCGGACCGGAGAGAAAAGTCCTCGGGCTCTGCTGCTTTTCCAGCTGCGGCGCGCGCTCGCGGCCGGGAAGGCGAGGTCGCCGCAATGCGCTAGGCAGAGTCTCGGTCCCGTCCGGACGTGGCCGGCCGGCCCCCGGCACAGCCCGGGGCTCCTCCGCGCGCTGCGGCTGGACCGGCGCCGGGGTTCCCGCTCGCCGCCGCCCGCTGCCCGCTGGAGCGCTCGGAGCGCTGTGCGCCGGCGGGGCGCGAGGGCTCTCTCACTCCCACCCGCGCTGGTCCCTCCTCCTCCTCCTCCCCCTGCCGCTGCCTGCTGGGCCTTGTAGTTCCCGAGCCGCGGCCCTGCGCTCGCCTGCAGTCCGGCCTCCCCCGGGCGCTGGCGCCCCCCTGCATCTGAGCGCCGCCCGGAGGGCGCCCGAGTTCCAGGCCGGCCGAGGGCTGAGGTCGGGGCACGGCTGTGGCCCCGGGGGGTTTGCGCGGTGGCCGCGCCCTCCAGTCTGACCCTGTACTTGGAGAAACGGTCTTCCCGCTCTAAATCTCGGTTTTCCCATCCGTAAAAGGGACTGGTATGGCTTTCTAAGTCGCGCTGGGGAATGAGGGAGGGCTTGGCACGTTGTGGGCGCTCAATACACACAAGCTGTCTTTACTTATGAGAAGGTCTCCCGTCTCCCCAGGCCCTTCCCCAGTTAGGTCGTCTGGTCCCCCAGGAACTGAGCCATGTGCATTCTACATGGCCGATCTTGGCTTCCAGAAGTCTCCAGAAATCAAGAATGAGTGTCAGGATTTGGTCTGAAAAGTCATCAGAGCCAGTTGGCCTTGGGGTGCAGCAGGTTACGCCCCTGCGGCACCCTGCAGTGAGCCCTGTGCCCACCGGCTCCTGTTCTGGCAGCTGCTCCGCTTGGGATCCAGCTCCCCCTCACTTGGGCCCCAGCCACCACGTGGGCCACCCAGAGGGAGTTCCAGGCGCTGGGCTTTGGCCTGGCCCTGCTATGGCCACCTGGGGAGTGAACCAGCAGGTGGAAGATATCCATCTCTCTCTGTCTCTGCTTCTCTCTGTGTAACTCTGCCTTTCAAATGAATAAATAAACTCTTCAACAATGACCAAAGAAAGTTAATCAGAGCTTGGCCAGAGCGCTCTCCAGGAGTCTATGGAATCCCAGGAAAGAGGCCAACACTCCCTTTGCTGTGAGTCCTTCTGCAGAGTGGGATGATATCGATCGATTGAGTGGTTCCCTAATCCAGACCAATGTGAGCCCTCTGGGAAGCTCCTGAGAAGCAAAATGCATGCAGGAGGGATCAGGCGCTCCCAGGAGGGAGCCAGGACGGGCTTCTGGGTGCCTGTGGTGTGCGGCCGGACTGGGGTGGGAAGTACGCCACACCAGGTATAAAGGACATTGCCATTCTGTGCCACCACTAATGGATGAACTGGTTTTGCACCTGTCCTGCAAAACTCTGATAAAATCAAGACAGTGTTCTCTGTCCCAGAATGGAGCACAGACCGCAACTCAGCCTTGTGCAAGTACAAGTCTCTGTGTATGTTACAGCTGGAGTGGGGGCCCTCATTCCCACCCTGCTTCACCCCTGCTGAGGAAGTTCCCATACTGGATGAGAGCATGCTTCTTCCCCCTGCATTTGAGGGAAAGATTTTAATTTCTCTACTTGACAAGCAGGGGAAGGAACATGAGCAGCACAGTGTCAACCACGTTGTAGGTACTCAAGAAATGAGTAGATATTCCATAAATATTTGTTTTTAAAAAGGGATAAAATAAAAAAAAGAAAAACATGAGTAAAAGCAAGAACCGGCATAGATGTGGAATCGAACTGCAGCCATTGTTTGTAGGACTATTGTTCCCTGGTAGCCTCTCTCTGCCCTGGAACCCTTCAGGCCCCTGGGATGTCTCCATTTATCTTCCTGTGGGAGCTGCCTGCCCTGTAGGCCTCCTGTGTTTTGAATGAACTCTATCCCAGGCCATACTACACCCCACCCCAATTCAGAGAGGCCTTCCCTACTAGTCCCGGCCTCCTGAGTTCCTGAACCCCTACAGGGATCCCCCATATCCACCCACCCAGCTTGGGACTGCGTCCAGGAGGTTTCCCCTAAGTGTTTGCAGTTGATGGAGTTGGGCAGTGTGATACACCGGAGGAGGAAAGACAGCAGGAGAGGGTGTGATTGGGAAGGCAAGCCGTAGAGCATCCAGGCTGTGACGCGAACACGCGCTACTACTGTCTCCCTCTGTTCCTCAAGAATAGTGCATCATCTCCCTTCGTCTCCGTAATTCTTCTTCTAAGGGCTTTTTTCTAGAATTAATTAATTTGAAAGGCAGAGTGACAGAGAGAATCTTCCAACCCAAATGCCTGCAACAGCTGGCCCTGGCTGCGGCTCACAGGGTCTCTCTTGTGAGTAGCAGGAACCATCATGTGCTGCCTCCCCGGGTGCATTAGCAGGAAGCTGGAGGGAAGCGGGGGGGGGGGGCTCCCTCCCAGGGATTTGAGCATCCCAAACATCAGCTGAAACCACTGTGCCAGCCTTTTCTTTTTCTTTGGATTTTGGAATCATTGTAGGAGTCTCTCGATGCCCAAAGAGGAGGCTGAAGAGCGTGTCCCTGCTTCAGACAGAAAGAGTATGATCTAAACGCCTGTTCTGTGTCCAGGGGCGTAGGCCGGCTGCCGAACAAATTCCTCCAAGACGGTCCAGCAAACCAAAATGGAAGCAAGCAGCCAGCCCGCCAGCAGTACCCTCCGCAGTTCTCAGGGAAGCAGCCACAGGCAGAGCGGAGACTGCGAGAAACCCGCAGATGCCTGGGCCGAGGGCGGAGCAAACACCTGGCCGCACCGCCGGTGAAATGCAGACCCCAGCACTTCTGGAAGGCCCCGGGCCAGTGGAGGGAGCCATTCCCAGGGCAGCCCTGAGCCTCTACAGGCAGCAGGGGTCAGCCTGCGGCCCTGCCTGCCTGCCTCGTCCCACTCCTGCTCCAGCGCTCCTGGCACCTTGCCTCTCCACACAGAAATGTAATCTTCCCTCCGAGATAACAAAGAGGCAGGAGGGTCAGGGAGGATTTGTAGGCCTCTGGCCTGCGAGCTCCACAGTCTGAGGGGAGATAAAGGCCCTCACGCTCAGGGACCTGATAACCAGCTGGGGGCCGCTCGCCTCCCAGATCTGTGGGAGGAGGAGACCGGAGCTGAATGAAACCAAGGGAAACAGAGCTCTCCCCAAAGCCCGCTCAGCTCTCTTTGTTGGAGAACATGGCAGGAAAACCCTTCCCTCTTCCTCGGCCACCGTGTCCTCCGAGCTGCCGCACCAAGGGAGTGTGCCCGGCCTCTGCCCGCTTGCCTGGCCTGGGCCCGGTGCCCACCGCCTCCGCTGCCTGTAGCGAACCCAACGGGGCCTCCCTGAAAGGGAAGAACCTGGGGGAAGGAAAGCCGCACCTCTAGGAGCCAGGTTGGGCTGCAGGCTGGGAACTGGCAAAGCCTCAGCCCTGAGACGTGGGTGCAGCAGGGGATTCAGGAGGTGGGGGCCGTCTGAGTTTTCCCCCACCAAGTGGCTCGTTCGCAGGTCTCTGGGAGCAGGTGGGCGGCCCCTCGAGCTCAGGAGCAGCAGTCAGTTGCCATCTGGCCACCATTTGGTGACCCCTGGCTGTTCCCAGCACAGCTTCGGCTTCAGGGAAGGGAGGGCCTTGTTTGGCTTGGTGTTTTCATAAATAGCATTCTCTCTGTCCTACCAGCTGGGAGCGGGAAGCAGAGCTGGCTAGCAACAGTGGCAGCTCGGCTCGTCTGGCCCTCATGCCACATGTATTCACGGAGCCTCGCAGCCCACCTGCTCTGCACTGTCCTGGGCACAGGGGATCCAGAGATGAAAAAGACAAGGGCACAGCCTGGGGACTGCTCCCAGTGCTGTCCGGGAAGACCACACAGCACAGGTGGTGCCACCCAGGGCTCTTGGGAAGCAGGTTCGGAGAAGACGTTCTGTAAGATGACAAGCCCAGGACGCCTCTTTTGGGAGCTGTTTTCCTGTAGCCTCTGCACCGTTTGTAACTTTCACCATCTTCACTTCTGCCAACGCATCCTGTGTCTCTGGATCCTGGCTGCAGAAAATGCAAACATTTTCTGATTCATCTCCCCAGTCCTTGCTGAACCCCCCCATAAGCAGCCCTTTGGGTTGGAGGTGTTGTGAAGCAAAAGGTAAAAAACGACAAGAAGCTAGGGAGGCTTACAGACCTCAGGGTCCATAACACCAAGTGCAAACAAGCTCTCTCCCAGCGAAAGCCACCCAGCTGGGGTCTGGGGGCTGGAAGGTGATGGAGGAGGCCAGGGCAGAACAGTGAACCATTTGCATTTCTGAGGACACCCCCAGGAGGGGAGGACCCAGTTCCTTAGGCTGCTTGCTGCCTGGCCCAGGGAACAAAGATCAAAGTTTCAGGGTTAGCCCTGGATAGTTGAAGATTCCACTTTGAAGTGGATTCCATCCAAGGATATGTTAACAAAGTTGCAGATGACTTGTGGGGGATGTGAAGAAGTTTTGGTGACATTGGGGTGGATAAGGTCAGAGAGAAAGGGGAAAAATACAGTGTTCTCCCAGTTAGGTTAATATGTATACGTATTTCTTTAAACGTTTATATGGTAATGGTATGGTAGAGGCTGTGGGAAAATGAGCATTCAAAACCATTGTTGGAAAGTGTGTATCAGCTAGAGAATTTTGGAGTCATTTAGTAATGTTTATCAACATTCCATAGATACACCACTGATATACTC